ACACGTGCCAGCAGAAGACCCACCCGGTGCTTATCACCGATTGTAGGGTCGAATGAGCCCTAAAATAACTGTTTATGGCCAAATTTTGGCTAAATTTTGGCGCACACTCACATTTCAGGCTAAATTTTGGCCATAAATAGCCATTTTAGTTAGGGGTGGATTTTTTTTACCAATTGCCCTTGCCCTACCGAACTCTACCGATTTTGTACCGAAATAATCCTACCGAATTATTATCGTACCCTGCCGTGCGGTACCGAAATATTTTGGTAGGGCAACAACACTCAATATTATTAAAATAGTATTACCCTATCGTCGCGAAATATTATTAATAAATAATAATAAATAAAATTTTATTATTAATCAATTCAAGTCAAGATCATTGGAAGATTGAAGGGCCAAATCCATCAAGAATTTCAAGATCTTCAAGTCAAATTTAGTCAAAGTTCAACGTTTGATCCGAGATTCAAGTCGCAAGACCCTTGGAGAACGTTATTCAAATCCAAAATCAAATCCGGAGAAGATCAAGTCAACGACCCGATTCCGAAAATTCAAGTTAACTATATATTGTTCTAGAGAGAAGAATCAGATGATTAAAATAGAGATTGTAACCCGCAATTTATTCATTTTAATTCAATAAAATTATCTAAGTTCAATTTTTCTTGTTTGATTATATCGCAGATAAGAATTTGTAATTTTGGTTATTAATTAGTAATTTATCTCAAAATTTTGATGTCTACAAATGCCCCCACTTCTAGTCTCGGCGAAGAACATCTTGAATATTTGTGAGACGAGACTTGAAGTACTCGAATTTTTCTTCACTTGTGGCTTCAAAACTCCTTTCCTTCATTTTAGGCATTTTGGGATGTATATGGAATTGCCATCGCTTTTGAGAACTTAAATGGGATGGGAAGTTCATTTTTTGATATTTGGGGCTGACATATATATAATTTTGCCTTTCTCAGTTTGAGGCTCTCAATTACAATTTCTTTATTTCCACATGAAGGAACCAATTGCAATTTGAGACTTGTTAACAATTGGGTCTTTGCCCGTAGAGGCGTGTTTGGGAGAACAAGAACAACATCAGCATCAGACACGCGCCCCGGCCACACACAATGACAAGCGGCATATAGGAGGTGTAACGGGGCTAGGAGTAGCTTCGAGGCAGCGTATTCGAGGTTGCCGGGAACGAAGCGGCACCACTCTTAAGCCTGCGGCGAACTCGAGGTTTCACTGGGATATGAATACGTCTGCAGCGGCGCTAATAGGTAATAACTCTGGCGACTGATTTAGGTGGTGGAGCGGAATGCAATGGTGGAATGGTCTCCACCTCGTGTCTCTGGGAGAAGGGAGGGCCAGCGTTTAGTGGACGTGAATTTAAGGTGATGGATTTCAGAGGCCAGCTGTTTGTGGCGGCGGGAACATGAAATAACACCATCGACTGCTTTGCGAGGTGATGGCGTTTCCGGTCGGCGGCGATGTAGAGGCGGCGGATCTGAGCGGCCAGCAGTTTGCGGCGGCGGGAACATGAGGTAACACCGTCGACTACTTTGCGCGGTGATGGCGTTTCTGGTCGGCCTCCCTGAATTGATGTCAGTGGAGAGAAATGTTGACGGCAACACGGTACCATGGCTGTGATTTATATCCCAATTTTGCTTGTTTCTTTGGTTCCGATTGGAAAAGATTGGATGTGCCATCTTTCTTTAGCTGCCCATAAAATGGGATTTTTTTGGGCATTCTTTCCAACCAGGCCTGCAAAAAATTTGGCAAGTTTCTTCCAACTGTAACAAATATCAGTGGTTGCAGCAAATCTTTTCTTGTTTTTTTTTTTCTTTTTTTTAATGTCCAAAGAGCAATTGGCAACAATTTGAAATGATATTGGATTTAACGAATTCGAATGATTTTGACCAATTATTGTCCGTGAACTTGCCCCCAAGTGTAGGATTTGACCATCGGTAAGATCAAAAACTCTACAAGGAAGACCTGGTTCTTCTTGGGAGCATCGGCGAAACGATTCAAACTTCGACACAGGAGGAAGAGATGAGGAGTGAAGATTGTCCCACCGGGCGTGCCAATTTGTAAACCACAAATTTTTCGAATCATGTCACTTCGACATAGGAGGAAGAGATGAGAGGTGAAGATTGTCCCACCGAGCGTGCCAATTTGTTAACCGTAAATTTTCTAGCCTGTAAAATATATCAATACAAGACAATAAAAATATAGGAAACAAATAAATTTATTATCAAACGAAAGCGGATTACAATCTCCGTGAATTCTCCTAATTCTTCTCTCCTAATTTTGATTCAAGGGCTTAAAAGCTTGTTCTTGAATCGAACGAATGATTTCCTATCACGAACACCTCGAATTCAAATATGTTATGAATTCGAGGCGGAGGCTCGAGACGTGAGCTTGAGAGCTCGATATGTGTCTGTGTGAGTCTGGTTTTTTAGATGCACCAAAGATTTCCTTTTATAGGCACAAACTAGGGTTAGGGTTTCTCGACTTGTAGAGTGGACCGGACATTTTAAAGCACAAATATGTTATGGACTTTAATTTGAGACCTAAATTAATAACCGATTTATTTTGGTGATAAATTAGTAATTTATCTCAAAATTTTGATGACGTGC